GCGAGTTCCTCCGCTGACATAGATACTAAAGTATCCTTCTTAATGCCCTCATAGTCTTGGAAGAGTGGAGGTAGTAGTGCACGGACACCTGCGCAAACCAGTTCGTATGAGATAAGATGTCAATGGACATACGGGTGGCGACATCAATGTCCTTGAATAAACAAGTAAAGGGCTGGTCTTTAGGTGCTCTGACATCCTGTAGCTAGGCAAAATCCTTGTCTACTTGGGGTGCATTAGCCGGGATAAGTTAATCATGTATAAAGCGGCGTAAAACCAAACTCAGTCAGTCAGTCATCATGTATAGCATACACTGGTTTATGAGAAACCTCAGGCAATGAGTTAACTGATGATGCCTTGGAGAGGCCTGAGTTATAGGAGTCTATCGCTGTCTTAAGTGCCGATGAATGGGGAAGAGACAATTAGGGTGCCCATTCTGAGAGGTAAACAACCCGAAACCCCTAATTCAACTGGTACGTCCCGTTCTGGCTTGTCAGACTGTGGTGGCACAGTACTTGGATAAAGACCATGTAAAAGTTCTAACTTTTCCCGTAAGGACCATCTCAGTGCCAGATTCTCTGCCAATGTATCCATGGGTTGGACTGTCAATAATCCCTCCTTCATAATAAAGTGTAGCTGGGAGAAGGGATAAACTGAAGCCCCTTCAGAGTCGGAATGGTATCAACGGTATAATTGGCATAATTAGCTTGTCATTATCTTTGTGGTCCATAGCTCCTGGCTGTGTTCCACTTGGCACATGGCAGGCAGGCTGTTGATCCATAATCCTGTTATCTCCTGTAGTGTCCCCGGAGACAAAAGACTGGGTTTGTGTTGTTGTCTCACTAAATTATTTGTGTAAAGAATGGTGCAAATAGTTGTCAGGTGTGCTATCTTGGGGGACCAAAGAGACTATAGGAAAATATGAAACAAAGTCACATGACCAACTGAGAAACGTTATATACAATTTTTCAATATTAGATTAATAAAAGACACATGGCATGGAACATGTTTCCTTATTAGCTGCAGATGAATTGTATATCGTTGCTTTATGTGGATGCATACAATGCTCAAACAAGGTAATAGCTTGATATTATTACTATAAATTTAGGTGCTATTAATTTTGATATTTGTATTTTTTTTTTTTTTCATTTGTTGTAGCATTGAACAGAATCATTCCACTCCATTTAGTTTGTCGCCATGCAGTTTTTCAATGTGAGACCGACAACATGCACTAGGTCACATGTTTGTGTGAAATAGGGCTGGATATTGCCCTGATTCTCCTATTGCTATATATTGCAATAATTTAAGAGATATTGCAATACATATTGTGATATATTGACTGGAAGGTTTCTGCCCAAGTGTGTACATCATTAATTAATAATAGCTCTCTGTGTGTGACTTCGTCTTCTTAGTTGCTGCTACACCATACTTTGAGGCTCCCTGTCCCCATTGTGTATGGCTGTATGTCAATGGTTTACAGATAAATGAAATGATAAACACCCTTAATGTAGAATGTTTAATTAAAGTACTGTATTGCAAGTTTTGCGAACATAATGATAAATTTAATAGTATAACATGATTTTCATTATCAGCGTTGTTTTCTTTAACAGAATGCACTTCAAAGCAGTATGTAATTATTGTTACTGTATGTCAGTGATTCATTCAGATTCAACTCTAATATAACATGTGTTAACATGAGCTATTGCAAAATGAAAACAAAAACATGATTCAGGTGAACTACTTGAGCTTAATATCTCATGTGACATCCAATATATTAGTAAGATTCTTGACTAGAATGTCATTATACAGTCCTACAAAATTTATAAGACTTTGGCCTTTATGATAAATTGATAACATATGTCCTATTATATAACAAACAAAATGGTCACTCAGAGCCAGGGGTCCTACTAATAAGTCCAAATAAAAGATTGGTCAAATCTATTAAGGGCATTTAGAAGTGGAATGCATAAGAAAAGCAAGATTTATGGATGTCACCTTCTTTATTGTGAATAGCACTTAGTTTTGGAGTGTATGCTTGCTCCTTCATTACTCGATGAATGAGCAAGCATACACTCCGAAATGTCATGTTATTCACAATAAAGTAGTTGACATCCATAAATCTTCACTGCTTTTCTTAAAAGATTGGTCCATTTGAGGCCACTTAATTCCTCCAGAACGTCACATATGAAACCTTTCAAATCCACAAAACTTAAAGCATTTGGTAGAGTATTTGGCACTTTTGGAGCCACTTATAAAGGCTTGTAAAATGTTACTTGAAATCAAGAGATAAATTTATATTTGGTACTTGGTATTTGTTGTTGTGGCAATCAAGGGCAGATAATTAAAATAGAGCTAATTCTGGATCACCCAATATATTGCAGAATCTGAACCATATCGCGATAATCGTATCGCGAGATACTGCCGGTATATACCGGTTTACCGGTAATATTGCACAGCCCTAGTGTGAAATATGATTCACTTAAGCAATATCGGTATATAAAATGTCTAGATATTACAGTAATTGTATAAATTCACTAAAGATGTGTATTGTTCTTGTTTTCGTTTTCTCGTTCAATCCTAACATTCTACCGCTGGCAGATGAATTTAAACAAACTGTTTTGATTTGTTAGCATAAAAATCAAGATGGAAATTTTGATGGGTCCAAAAGATGACAAATTTTTCCAATTAATTCCAAGACGAAATCAATGTTAGGATATGCCCTCATACAACCAATTGCAATTGCAGTTTGAGGCTGACACAGTCAACATTTCTGGGATATCATTCAGGAAAAAAACAATAACAAAAGTAAGAACCAGCCCCAGGGAATTGCTCTGGATCAGTGCCCCTTTAACTACCTAAAACTTCAAAATCCACGTTTTTGGCAGATCTCAATAAACTCCTTTTCAAATTTCATTTGAGTGGTAAATCTGATAACATAATGAGAACTGTTGCATGTAAATCCATCCAGAATGGAGGTCTTAGTATGATTGATGTTTTTAAATTTGTAAAACATACATGGATGGGAAACCTATTTGATGTTACATTTGAGCCAAGATGTACCGGGTAAGCCGATCTCATTGGGTTCTTTTCCAAAGTGCATCAATTTGTCTGCATATTCAAAGCTTATTTCTATGAATGTAAACAAAAGTTTTTGGAAGAATTGTGTTGTTTCTCTTCATAAACTGTACCTTAAAATTTCCCCCCACGTCCATGAAGAGTTTATTACAGAACCAGTATTCTGTAATAACAATATTTTTGTTGGAGGCAATCATGTTTTTTATCACAGCTGGTTTGCAGGGAGCATAACTTGGATACTTGATTTTATGAACAGAGATAGATTATTTCTCGTTTACATAGTTCGATAAATGATTTGATGTAAGAGTCAACTTTACAATATATTATCTCATTATACAAGCAATTAAAACATATTTTATAAAAATTCCTTTGACAAACACAGTTGTTTCTCACAACTCGATGTTTGAGGTACAAGGGATTAAAAGCAATTGTTATGTCCTAGCCAGCTCTGATGAAAAATGGGAACATAATGTCGACAGCCAATTGGACTGGAAAAGTATTTATCTCAAACCCTTCAAAATTACCAGATACAAATCTAAGGTGGTTCCAATTTTGAATTTACCATCTTATCATTGCAACTAACTTGTAACTGGTCAAGATAACAGTTGCTTTGATGATAAATGTTCTTTCTGCACTAATGACCGCCATATAGATGGAATATTGCTGAGTGCGGCGTAAAACTAAACTCACTCACTCTGCACCAATGAGACAGAAACATTCTATCCTCTATTTTGGGATTGTGTTCATGTACAAAACTTCTGGAAGTTATTCTTAGACACGTTAAAAGTTATTCTTATACATGTATGTAACTACAATCCTAGTCCTGAGCTTGTAATTTTGGAGTTTAAAATTGTTTTGGTCTCAGATGACAGCTTTTGATTTGAAACTCTAAATGTCAAAATTTTTTATGTATATATAAATGCAAACTTTCCATCATCATTCCTACCTTGAAACATTTCACAGGATTTCTTCAGAACAGATATCATGTTAAACAAAACCGGTATTAAGCTGAAAGCCAACAAGATAAGATTTATCAGAAATGGATGCTGTGTTATAGTCTCAGGCAATGAAAGTACAATGTTCTTTCACAATCTTTAATTGCAGATGATTATTGTGACATATGCTTGGCCTGTTACCCAACAAGAGAGTGGATGTGTGAGTGAAGTGGATGTGTGAGTGAAGTGGATGTGTGAGTGAAGGAGTTGTTTGTTCCTTGTTATAAACCCCTGAGACAAGGGAAATCCTATACAATGTTCTTGTGTTATCCCACCCCAAACAGTTATCCTGCTTCCCTTGGCAGCAGTCAATATGTGTAAGAGATTTCTGTAATCAAAAAACAACAAAACACACACACACACACACAAATAATTTCTCCAAGAGGCCAATTTCATTTATGATGATTTCTCAAAGAAATACAAATATGGCTGACAGGCCATAATCAGATTTTTTGTGCCCTGAAGAAGACCCCATACAGTTACGAATGCAAAGTTGCAGCTGACTCCATCAGACAGTCGATAATCACAATGGTTTAAGCATATCTGACATTGATGGACTGCCCTCAAAATAGGCTAGAAGAGATTTATTTGTGACTAGAATTCTTTCAGAGGCATAACTTCTATTGGTTTTCTTATTTTTCTTATGCTTCACTGTAAGTAACAAGAATATTTTATAGCTGTTCTAAGTGTTGAAAGCATCACTAAACATACCTGAAACAATCACATGCATTATGTACCATGGTGTAGAATATATATGCTACAGTTATTTCACATGATCCAGTGACAGGACTAGGAAATGCTGACTGAAATCTAAAGAGCAGAGAGCTACAGAGATGAATGACTCACAGTTGTAGCCACAGAGGACCTGCAACATTTCAAACACTGAAAAACATCAGAATTCATTTGTGTACCATGCAAATAAGAACAAATGTGAAGAGTTTCACAAGGTAAAGATTTATTGGGAAGGAAAGGAGACATGATAAATATAATACAATACAATATGTACCATTCAACACAGTGTTGCGAACACAGTTTGTGAAATGTGGGTGCTCCAACTTACAATCATGCATATTCAGGCAGTTCCACATTAACCAGCCACAGTGGGGGGTGGGAAGGGCATAGAAGCCAATATAACGAATATTATGTTTATCCAAGACACTGACACACACAGACACATACAGGCAAACCTAATTCATTATCAGAGACCTTCACACACCTCCATCTTTACCCTGTGGGCCATTTTACAGTCAACACACCTCCCTCCTTATCCTGGACCTCCCTCACACACTTCTTCCTGATCCTAGACCTCCATCACACACTGCCCAAACACCTCCCTCCTTATCCTTGACCTCCCTCATGCACTGCCCACACACTGCCCTCCATATCCTGGACCTCCCTCACACAATGCCCTCCTGATCCTAGACCTCCATCACACACTGCCCAACACATGCACTGCCCACACACCTGCCCTCCTATCTGGACCTCCCTCACACATCCTCAGACCACCCTCACACACACCTCCTTATCCCACACACCCTCCCTCCCTCTTCCTGATCCTAGACCTCCCTCACACACTGCCCTCCTTATCCTGGACCTCCCCCACAACTTCTTCCTGATCCTAGACACACTCACACCTGCCCTCCTTATCCTGGACCTCCCCTCCACACTCCTCCTATCCTGGACCTCCCTCACACACTTCCTCCTCTCCTATCCTGGATCCTAGACCTCCCTCCCCTCACACACTTCCCTCCTTATCCTAGACCTCCCCACACACCTCCCTCCTTATCCTGGACCTCCCTGGACCTCCCTCACACACACTTCCCTCCTTATCCTAGACCCTCACACACACTCCCTCCTTATCCAGACCTCCCTCACACACACTGCCCTCCCTCCTATCCTAGACCTCTCCATCCACCTCCACACACTTCCCTCCTTATCCTAGACCTCCCTCACACACTTCCCTCCTTATCCTGACCTAGACCTCTCACACACTTCCTTCCTTATCCTGGACCTCCCTCACACACTTCCCTCCTATCCTAGACCTCCCTCACACACATCCCTCCTTACCCTAGACCTCCCTCACACACTTCCCTCCTTACCCTAGACCTCCCTCACACACATCCCTCCTTATCCTAGACCTCCCTCACACCTCCCCCTGTACTATAAACCTCTCTGGCATTGTCAACACACCTCCTTCCTTACCCTAGACCTCCCTCACACAGTATCAACACAACCTCCCTCCTTATCCTAGACATTTCCACTGATATTCTTATGTCAATAATAAGTTCATTTGTTTCTTCCAACAGTGACCAGTGACAGTTAGAGACCCCCGGCTGCTGCGGGAGGGGTGAGGTATGTATGTACATTTAGTACATGTACACAAGGCTCTGTGTGACCTACACTGTTACTTCAACATGTGAATGCCATGTATGCATAATTATCATCTTTTGCCACCAGTTGTGACTTGCATTTAGTGCATATAGACACACGCACATATATACACACACACACACACATCCACACACACACACAGCATTGCATACACAGAAACACTCACACTGCCACAAACTCATCCTATTTCAACACACAGCAACATTTCACTGGCTTCTGGTAACGGAATGGATGGGTCAAAACATAACAAAACAGATTCACACATTTGTTGTGGTTAATAACAGTGATGACTTGAGTATCAAATCTGAATTATTTGTGTGTAACAATATGACTTCCTTCACAACAGATGTCATTCCTCATGATCACAAATAACATGTAATTTTACTTGACAAGTACACACACATTGACAGCGTATTGAGAGAATTCATTGGATTCCTTGCTGTGAGATAATGTACTCAAACAGCACATTTCTACTGAAAATAACATGCCTTCCCATCGTGTTAATGGCTTATACAAGTGTTGTAACCATGCTCATGTTAGATATCCAAATACAGAACACATGTCACAGGTATATTGGTCTCATCCACGGAAATCTGAACACAGGACCCCTGAATGATGATGGGATAAACAAGCTGCATTTATCTTTTGACAGCAAGGTGATCATCATTTGTACTTCTGAAAGTTTGCTTGAGAGTCCTAGAGACTTGTCTGTTATTTGTTATCATGAGTAGGACAGTAAAATTTTGTGCTCAACAAATTTTGTTGTTCTTTATCAATCAATGTTTAGAACATGTACTTTTCTGTGAACAATACTGACATAAAAATATTGTCTTCTTAGAGAATTTGCAACCATATGTCAATAAAGATTTATTCTGGAGAGTAGTATGATTAACAAAACCTGTCTGTCAGGGTATGAAACTTGAGCTATTTACAGATTGTTGATTCTTGAAGACATCTTGCTATATTTCATGCAAGTAAACATATTTCCTCATATGATGGACAATATAACAGTAAAACATAAAGTAGATACCACACGACAAAATAGGTAAACTTGAGGTCTGAGCCATGTGCAAAAATATTGAAAAGTGATGGAATATGTCATATATTTGACAATAGAGGAAAAAACCATACACATACAACACTTGTAGCACAACAATGATATATAACATATTTGTGTAAATGTCTCCACCACACTGTGTGGACTCCATGTCACTTGAAAGGTCCTTAAATGTTTCTGGTGGATCTTGGACCTACTGCATGTAAACACGGATAAATCTAGCAGAGCACACAGTTAAGGTGGAGAAATAAATACAAGCCATAGGATATCTAAATCAATACAATTCTGGTGGGTTTTATCAATCAGACAAAAAGATGTACAGTGTCATACAGAGCTCTAATATGTTTGTACAAACAAACATATATAGTGTCTCATGGAGCTCTTGTGTGTTCTGCACAAAAAAAACACAAAACGATATACAGAGTCACACAGAGCTCTAATGTGTTCTATATAAACAGACAAAAACATATAGTGTCTCATAGAGCTCTGGTGTGTTCTGCACAAAAAACACAGAAAGATATACAGAGTCACACAGAGCTCTAATGTGTTCTATATAAACAGACAAAAACATACAGTATCTCATAGAGCTCTGGTGTGTTCTGCACCAAAAACACAAAACGATATACAGTGTTACACAGAGCTCTGGTGTATCCTGTACAAAAAGACAAAAACATTTACAGTGTCCCACAGAGCTCTATTATCCATTTTACAATGTGCAAGGTAATGACACAGAGTTGTGTAGACAACTAAGTACACAGTGCAGCAGTGTATCATAGAGAGAAGAAGTGCTACAGAGGACAGTATAGAGTGGTTGGAAACATGATGTGAGGCCCAGTGATAGACATGGGGCACAGTAGAAACAGCAGCAGTATGGTGGCAGCAATAATATTGTGACGTGCTCAAGCAGACATTACATGGTTAAGCTACAACTGTTTTTGGTCACTGTACACTTTAGCATAGATAGGCCTAGCTGCCATAGTGATTGTCTGTAGTGGGGAAAGATGGCACCCAGCTCTGTATTCAGGAATAGTCTGCTTCCTCATTTGTAGTTTGTGGGGTGCCCCATGTAATGTGGGTGTAGCTGTACATCAGTCAGTCTCACCTTGTAGGGAATGTAAGTACAAGACATGATGGAGGGGATACACTTCCCCATTCACTACTGCTGGTCACAGTATCAATGCCTTAGATAGATGTCTGATGGCAAGGAATAACCTTTAACCTGTGAAGTGACAAACCACTTTATGATAATGTTTATATGGCCAATATTAAGACAGGTGCATCTCAAAATCATAATGGTCTGGTGTATGTCAGGTTTAAAGTTCATTTTGCTCAATGAAACCCCCCGCTGGTGTTTGTAATGTCAGCAAATGGGCTAGCTAAACAATGTCAGGTGCTTCAGTTGATAAGTACTTAACTTACCAGCACATGTATTCTGTGACTTGTCTAGATGACAATAGTTCAGGACAGAAATCCAACTGTGTCACTATTCTGTCAACAGCCTGTGTTAGAAAGTAAATGCTGCACACATACTGACATTGCAAAATGTTTTGCATCTGGCTGTTGTGCTGTCTGCTCCTCACTGTCCCGAAAACCCTTCTGCACTCTCCAGTAACACCTCAACTATGACATCCACGCTTTCTTTCACAATAATACCCTTGTGCTTTCTAATGATATCACAGACTAACAGGTGATGTGGGTAGGCTTACTTAAATCCTCTAACAATATAACAAATTCTCAGTTATAATATTTACCAGGAAACAGACCTTCCACTTACAATCCCAGAAAGTAAACAACATACTTTGAAGAACAACACATCAAGTGGATACTTAAAGGAGACATAAATTGTGACTGTTCCAACACAGTACAACCCATTAAACTTAAATGACACAGAATCAATGGCAAATATGGAACAAATGAATAAAAAAGTACCAAAATCAAGGTAAAAAAATACTGAGCAGTAATGCCAACATATATTTGTATATGTATAGATTCTGCCCTGAACCACAGCATGAGCATTTGCGGGTGTTGGTGGGCGGTATTGGGTTGTGTCTCACCGCTCAAACCAACGAAGTAGCCAATATGGCCACTATTCCATGCCACCTCTATCACAGACAATGCTTTGCATGCATTAAAAATGCCAACCAGAGGTCTTCATAAAACTCAATGTTAAACTGAGGAACTGTTAATATTCAAACTACTATAAATTTGAAAGATCACACAACTATGGCTAGAATAGAGGGAGAGTCTACATAACACACATTGGTTTGAACAAATTCTAAATACACTACATCTGAGTTCCACTCTACATTAGAATGCCATTAAAATCAATTGACAATCATAATATGAACAAACTATTGAGATATTGTATAAAACAGACAGCAAGATGTTGAGTTGCGAGGAAGTTTAGGGCAACCCCATTTAGACATGGCCTTAGCATGTGATACACAGTCCATGTGTCATGTGTCTGCCTCCAGCCACACTGGAACTGAACACAATGATGAAATTGCCTGTGCTTCAAGATATGCAGTGTCCAAGTTGGTCATCTCTGGCTACCAACAAAGCGATCCTTGCTCTTTTGCTGGATGCTCACTGCACAACTGGTGCTTCCTTAGCCACGCTTAGCGCTTAACTGCTGCCTAGCATGGTCATCATTGAACTACCACTGGGGCGGCACTGAAACGTGAGTGACAGGTCAATCAGTGGTTGTCCTCACCAACTTATCGCTGAGAGCAAGGACCAATCAAAAAGATTGGACAGCAAGGGTATAACTTGCAGGTCAAAAGAAGTTTTCAAGACTAGAAGGAACCTTTTTGCCGGCAGGGCTTGTTAATTTGTAGTATTGCTTGAAGTCTGATCCCAGACTGTTTGCCACAAGGTCATGCATTGCAGAGGATGGTGAACCTACAAGAGATGAGCACGTCCATCAGTGGCCCAACACAACATAGTGGATTAGGGAAGCAAGGGTGGACAGCTATATCTAAGTGAATCTGCTCCACTTGGTGCAGGAACAGTGATAAGTATGTGTCTACATATTCACTGATGGCTACATTGGACTTAACTGTCAACACTGCACACACAAGGAGGGACTGAGCAGCTGGAACATACTGGGAAAGACTGGTTAGTAGTGAACTCTCAGGGCAGGTTTAACAGGACAGTTGAATGTTTGCATATTGATTTATCAACTGAAAAACTGAATTTTATCTCTGCCATTATGTGTACCTTCACCTTTAAATATCAGTTGTTATGTCAACTTTGGTAAACCAGAGACTCCTCAGCATAGTGTGTACAGCATAACTGTAAATGATTCCAGCAGATGCAGTCATGTATGTGGGCGTAGAGAGCTCTTGGATTGAATAACACCTCAGAAGACCACAATAAACTGCTTGTGTGTGATCAGACTGATGCTGTGTGGCTGGTTTCTGACACTTTCAACCCCAGGGCTTTCAGTCAATGTTTGATTCCATCACATGGATTAGCTGATAGTATATTACTGACAACAGCCTAAACTCCTACTTGCATCATGTCTGTGTATTGTTATCGTCTTGCATGATACGGATATTGCAGAAATCTGTTTGAAAATTATGTCATTACCCCTGTGATTCCTCTGTGAGTTGTGGGACAGATATGCTGACTGGCCTGCTGGATTGTCATTTTTGACCCAGATTTACATTCTTCAGGAAAATCATAAAACTAATAGTCAAATATTAATTCAAAATCATTTCAGTCTAATGACCAGGAATATGTATTTGCTCAAGACTCCAGTTGAAGAGTGATGGAGAGGATACTACGAATGCCTACAGGTTTATCAAAATTGTATTTATCAATAAAATATATAAAACAGTGTATGAATAGTGTTCTGATGGAGAAATAGTCCTCAATCTCAACAATATAAGAAGGGAACGCTTTCAAAAATCAGTTTTGTCAATATTAGATTGACATAAAACATACATCCTGTTATTCCAAAAGACTCCCTACTTAAATATCATTGCCACTGTTATTTTCAAGATAAGCTTGGCACAATAAATGATAATGTATATAACAGGGGTTGGTGTTTGAGTGGGAGTGATTATGTAACAGTGACTGCACTCTAGCAAACTAGTGACGTACTGAAACTGGCAAACTATTTACCAACTACTGTCCAAAACAAATATGTGCTAACATCGTTTCCTAATTTCATGTTTTTACATTCCATTATCAACAAACAGTATTAAAACACTACTAAATCATATGTTACGATCATGTATTCCATTTACTGCCTTATCTCTCAATAACTACAAGACTTACCAAGTTCCTATTTAAACTGTACTGTTGTTGATAGTTCTTATTGTTTAAGTCCACACATTATCTGGACACATAGCTGTCTTCAGGTGTTAATGTTTGCCAAAAGAGACTGGTGCACAATTTGATTAGCATTACTGTTTTCAGAGGCACGTTGCTGAGCTGAGGTATGTCTAAAATAGTATATCCCAGTATTTCATCCCAGGAGGTAGATCATGGTGTATGGAAGTTTTGGTGTGAACACCACAGTGTCTCAGTTTGTTGAGGATGGACCAGCACCTGACCTTACAACTGCTACTTCTACAACTACTACTACTGGCCGGCAGCCAGCATGGCAAGGGAGGAGAGGTGAAGATGGGGAGAAGGTGCCGATGCTGTGACTGGGGCATGAACACTGAGATTGACTGAAACAGCTGCGACCAGTAAGGGAGGGTACAGCTGAAACAAACAATACAAATACAAAAAGGCAAAATGCCCCAACTATAATACCTCAGTCTTTGTACATGGTACAAATATAAACTGTATCATTTAAAAACTAGATTTGTGTAATAGGATTTTCTAAAACTGTCTATTGAGCATTAATGAAAAGGAAGCACAATGAAATTTAGCTGCAACTGTGATGCAGCAACTAAAACAGCTACTTCAATCAGAGGTTCAAACTTCTGATTGATCAATCGGAATGAGGTAATGTCTGGTCATGGTAAGATTCCAATGTTGGTGACGTGGGGGAGTAGCACTATGAAGCCCTGTGTATTACCTAATGTGTGGGTCTTATCTGACACAGTGTAAGGGACTGTGTATGACTGAAAGCGATTCACTTATCTTCCCTCTATGTCTGGATCTATCATATCTTTGTATAATTTAATTCACTTTGAAGCAGACACAGCAGACACAGATGAATGCAAAGTGTGTTCAAAGTGCTGGTTTGGTGATGATTTCAAAATAGTTAGCACTGAAGTCCATGAACCCTGTCCATGAATTCTAGGCCACAAACTGTTCAGCTTATCTGCGATGTTCACATGTCATGGGATTTAGAGGAAATATGTTAGTTATATGGGACAAAACAGACATCTTGCTGTTAACAAATGAAGCTGTTTTGGTGATATGTAACTCTTCTGACCATGGTAAGTAATTATATTCTTCTGGATATGTTACATTATACTAGTTTTTCACTTTTGAAATGTAAGTGCCAAGTGAACCATTGATTATCTTCTAGTAACGTGTTTGTGCAGCATTGTGCATACAGATGGAAGAGAGTACTTTGCCTGCACATGACATGGCCATGCACAGTGTTCCTGCTCTGCATCAGTCGGGCGGTAGCTATTTGCACATGCAGGTGACAAACTCCCATGCTGACAGTTGTGTCAACTGCCAGCAAGTTCATGTATCGTCTCAACTCATTTTCTCATTTTTCACCTGTGAAAGAAAAGGACTGTGATCTGACTGGATAATGATAAGAGCATCCCCCAAGCTGACATAATCAGTGATTAAAACAGATTGGCTTTCATATTCACATTGTATATGGCTTAAGCATATTTTATAAACATAGTCAGAACTGGAAATGTTTATAGAAGGTTTGAATTTCAAGACCAGTACGAATGTGCATACTGATTATAGACAGGCACTTTTGACGCTCACCTGAAGAAGACGGACTGGAGGTCTTGGAGGTGCTGGCACTGCTGTCCCCATGTCCACCATGCTTGCTGTGGTGACCGCTACATTGTGAATGAATACCACACACTTTGGAAGCCTTGGGTAGATCGGCAGCACATTTCAACAAACTGTACACAGGATCAATCTCGTCCCCTAACAATACAAGAGTCATCAACATACATTACATATGCCCCTCAGTGTGCAAAGTTTCATCACACAGTATTGAACACTTCTCAGATTTGTGTCTGAAAAGGCTTCTTTAAGCTATTCTGAAATTGCACTTTTTGTATGGAATGTCAACTAATCTTTATCATTGCATTACATGTTTTATGATGTTTTATTATGTTTTCACATTATAATAAGGTTTGTTGCATAAAACAGACATAGTATGTATATACTTTGATGATGGCTTGTGTTTAAGATGAAGATCTCTTTTATTAGTTAATGAGATGTTTTACAATAAGAAAAATGACAAGCCAAAGAAAAGCGAATGTCTCTTAAGCATCTGTATATCCGTATTACAGAAGACATGCACAACGTCGCAACTGTTATAGAATTTACAACATTATAGATACACAGATTACTCTATGAAACCAAGCACACACATACAGTTCTCACCATGGTACCATCACTCTCTCTACAAACCATGGTACCATCACTCTCTACAAACCATGTTACCATCACTCTCTCTACAAACCATGTTACCATCACTCTCTCTACAAACCATGTTACCATCACTCTCTACAAACCATGTTACCATCACTCTCTACAAACCATGTTACCATCACTCTCTACAAACCATGTTACCATCACTCTCTACAAACCATGTTACCCATCACTCTCTCTACAAACCATGTTACCATCACTCTCTACAAACCATGTTACCATCGATCTCTACAAACCATGTTACCATCACTATCTCTACAAACCATGTTACCCATGACTCTCTACAAACCATGTTACCATCACTCTCTACAAACCATGTTACCATCACTCTCTACAAACCATGTTACCATCACTCTCTACAAACCATGTTACCATCACTCTCTACAAAACCATGTTACCATCACTCTCTACAAACCATGTTACCATCACTCTCTACAAACCATGTTACCATCACTCTCTACAAACCATGTTACCATCACTCTCTACAAACCATGTTACCATCACAAAACCTCTACTACAAAACCATGTTACCATCACTCCTCTACAAACCATGTTACCATCACTCTCTACAAACCATGTTACCATCACTCTCTCTACAAACCATGTTACCATCACTCTCTACAAACCATGTTACCATCACTCTCTACAAACCATGTTACCATCACTCTCTACAAACCATGTTACCATCACTCTCTACAAACCATGTTACCATCACTCTCTACAAACCATGTTACCATCACTCTCTCTACAAACCATGTTACCATCACTCTCTACAAACCATGTTACCATCACTCTCTCTACAAACCATGTTACCATCACTCTCTACAAACCATGTTACCATCACTCTCTCTACAAACCATGTTACCATCACTCTCTCTACAAACCATGTTGTTCCTCTACAAACCATGTTACATCTCTCTCTACAAACCATGTTACCATCACTCTCTACAAACCATGTTACCATCACTCTCTACAAACCATGTTACCATCACTCTCTCTACAAACCATGTTCCCCATGACTCTCTACAAACCATGTTACCATCACTCTCTCTACAAACCATGTTACCATCACTCTCTACAAAACCATGTTACCATCACTCTCTACAAACCATGTTACCATCACTCTCTACAAACCATGTTACCATCACTCTCTACAAACCATGTTACCATCACTCTCTCTACAAACCATGTTACCATCACTCTCTACAAACCATGTTACCATCACATCTCTCTACAAACCATGTTACCATCACTCTCTACAAACCATGTTACCATCACTCTCTACAAACCATGTTACCATCACTCTCTACAAACCATGTTACCATCACTCTCTACAAACCATGTTACCATCACTCTCTACCAAACCATCTACAAACCATACCATCACTCCTCTCTACAAACCATGTTACCATCACTCTCTACAAAAACCATGTTACCATCACTCTCTCTCTACAAACCATGTTACCATCACTCTCTACAAACCATGTTACTACCATCACTCTACACAAACCATGTTACCATCACTCTCTCTACATCTCCCCATGTTACCATTACCATCTCTCTACAAACCATGTTACCATCACTCTCTCTCTCTCTACAAACCATGTTACCATCACTCTCTACTAAAACCATGTTACCATCACACTCTACAAACCATCTACCATCAATCACTCTCTACAAACCATGTTCCCATCACTCTCTCTACAAACCATGTTACCATCACTCTCTACAAACCATTGTTACCATCACTCTCTACAAACCATGTTACCCATCACTCTCTACAAAACCATGTTACCATCACTCTCTACAAACCATGTTACCATCACTCTCTACAAACCATGTTCCCATCACTCTCTACAATCACATGTTACCATCACTCTCTACAAACCATGTTACCATCACTCTCTACAAACCATGTTACCATCACTCTCTACAAACCATGTTACCATCACTCTCTACAAACCATGTTACCATCACTCTCTCTACAAACCATGTTACCATCACTCTCTACAAACCATGTTACCACTCTCTACAAACCATGTTACCATCACTCTCTACAAACCATGTTACCATCACTCTCTACAAACCATGTTACCATCACTCTCTACAAACCATGTTACCATCACTCTCTACAAACCATGTTACCATCACTCTCTACAAACCATGTTACCATCACTCTCTACAAACCATGTTACCATCACTCTCTACAAACCATGTTCCCCATGACTCTCTACAAACCATGTTACCATCACTCTCTCTACAAACCATGTTCCCATGACTCTCTACAAACCATGTTACCATCACTCTCTCTACAAACATTGTTACCATGTTACCATCAATTTCTACAAACCATGTTACCATCACTCTCTACAAACCATGTTACCATCACTTTCTACAAACCATGTTACCATCACTCTCTACAAACCATGTTACCATCACTCTCTACAAACCATGTTACCATCACTCTCTACAAACCATGTTACCATCACTCTCTACAAACCATGTTACCATCACTCTCTACAAACCATGTTACCATCACTCTCTCTACAAACCATGTTATGACTACCATCTACAAACCATGTTACCATCACTCTCTACAAACCATGTTACTATTTACCATGACTCTCTACAAACCATGTTACCATCATCACTCTCTACAAACCATGTTACCATCACTCTCTACAAACCATGTTACCTCATCACTCTCTACAAACCATGTTACCATCACTCTCTACAAACCATGTTACCATCACTCTCTACAAACCAACCATGTTACCATCACTCTCTACAAACCATACCATCACTCTCTACAAACCATGTTACCATCACTCTCTCTACAAACCATGTTACCATCACTCTCTCTACAAACCATGTTACCATCACTCTCTACAAACCATGTTACCATCACTCCCTCTACAAACCACGTCCCCATGACTCTCGATATACAGTTTTGTGACCTTGACCTTTGACCATACTCTCTCTACAAAAAGAATTCCACAGGTGTATTGGAAATTAAACCTTTTTTTGAAAGGTGATGAATATAGCACTATGTAGTGTCCACATAACAGAATAAACTTGTATGCAATTTTTTAAGGGCTTAGAACTTAACAATCATACTTTTCTACCCCAAAAAGAACAGCAATGCACTGCACAATATACAAGCATTTCATAACTAGCTGAATGACTCGTATTCCATGTGGTTTTGTGGAAGTAAATTTATTTTGCAGTAGCCTTTGATCTAGCATTGTACTGGTGAATAATACATGAAATCACAAAAATACATGTAGTCTTGTAACCATGTATTGATGCACTGTGTTTATACAACCTTGTGTGACAATGGCATCTACACTGTATGGTACATGTAGCATGCAAGAGTATCCTCCCTTAGACCAAGTGGCCAGTCGTTAAAAGTGGTGTTGTCCTCATTAACGTGCACTGGTGCAATATTGTGCCATGAATCGTTGGTGCTCCTTGATTGGTGTTGCTGCCATTATTAACAAATTTCCTACATTCACATGCCAGCTCACAGGAGATCATACTGCCTCCGTGGTTTGCTTCAGTGGAGCATTGTCTCCCAGCCTCACTTCACCTACAATCAGCCTATTTTGGGATGCTGCAGATGGTTCTAAATGGTGGTTTTTGTTGGTTTGATTATTTTCAGTTTGATTCTCATCACATAAAAAATTCTATACTGCATTTGCCAGGTCCCACACTGAAAGAACCATACATGGGCAAATCACCACCATTGAATCTTGTATTCAGTTGTTAGCAATTTAAACCAATGCAGTCTCATTTTCAATATTGAACTTGATAATGTGCAGGATGTATGAGTACTTTTAGGTGATAAATTACTTCACTCATACCCCATAACATACCATTTTTTACAACAAATTGTATATTTGAGAATGTATACAAATTGCTCTTGCTGGTCTGGTATGTTTTGAAATATATTTGAATAAACACAGGGAACTAGCTATATTTATCCAACATGATCCTGATGCAGATGAAGAAGTGTTTTGGCATCTTCGCTTGTGACTAGTTAGCACATAAGTGGTTAAATATCTATAATTACTCCACTTTCCCTGACTACTGTATGTTGGTTTGCTGTTCCTAGCAGAGACCAAAACAGCCTGTGCACGTCTTCAAAGAGATTGGAGTAATGACTACAGCCTACAACAGTGTGTTGTGAAAATAGCTGCATGGAGTTAGTGGTGTTCTCAGCACACTCCACGGTACCGAAGTACTGATATGTGGGATATGTTCCCACTGCCTGGCGCTTTGCCAGTCTATCTAGGCCATAACCATCAGCAGTTGATCATCAGCAGTCACAACTTCAGTCAGATTGCTGGAGAAAATGCACTCCTGCACTAGTATATGCTTCACAACACTGTCATTTTGCCACTTATCCATTTAATTCTGAATCCGTAAATAGCCCACAACAAAGTAGGCAATTTCTAGCTGATGCAGTGCTACAGCTCCCTTATCATTCATCTAATTTTTCAAAATAAATACTATAATTTGCAGAGCATATGTTTTCTGCTTGCACAAAAAATATTGACATCCTTGCGGGTCCTATCTGAACGTAAGAGACATATAAGCTTGCACAATGAAATGTGATGGACGTTGCACTACAGAGCTATAGACTAACACTCTGAATTTATACAAATAGAGAATTCCTTTAAAATTGAAACAGTGCCCCAGTGACATGGGAGATTCAGAACCTGAGGAAATCTAGACTTGCTACATTTAGGACTTTGGCATTGTGGAAAATACTGGGTGGAAGGAGAGATAATGTGGACTACCAGAACTAGGTCAGTGTCATGAGCAGGAGAATAGCATCATAACCTCTTGGTGTTCCGGGATACATTACCAGTAGAACTCTGAACAAAGAATCTTATACCATAGGGGCAAAGTAACTTGAGATAAATAACAGATCAGTTTCTATAAGATAAGTTTGGAATTCTGGCCTTAATCAGATAAGCAAGCTATCACACAAAGTGCGCCAAACTTGCTATAATCCACATTCGTCAAGGTCTAAAAGCACAAATGCCAACCTAAAACACATTGCAGCACCCCACAAAATTCTGCTTCATCCTACAACATGCTGCATCACCCTACAACATGCTGCATCACCCTACAACATGCTGCATCACCCTGCATCATCCTGCAACACGCTGCATCATCCTACAACATGCTGCATCACCCTACAACATGCTGATTCATCCTGCAACATGCTGCATCACCCTACAACATGCTGCATCATCCTGCAACATGCTGCATCACCCTACAACATGCTGCATCACCCTACAACATGCTGATTCATCCTGCAACATGCTGCATCACCCTACAACATGCTGCATCATCCTGCAACATGCTGCATCACCCTACAACATGCTGCTTCATCCTACATCCAACATGCTGCATCACCCAGCAACATATTGATTCATCCTACAACATGCATCACCCTACAACATGCTGCATCACCCTACAACATGCTGCATCACCCTACAACATGCTGCATCACCCTACAACATGCTGCATCACCCTACATCATGCTGCTTCATCCTACATCCTACAACATGCTGCATCACCCAGCAACATATTGATTCATCCTACAACATATTGATTCATCCTACAACATGCTGCATCACCCAACAACATTCTGCATCATCCTACATCCTACAACATGCTGCATCACCCAGCAACATGCTGCTTCATCCTACATCCTACAACATGCTGCATCACCCTACAACATGCTGCATCACCCAGCAACATATTGATTCATCCTACAACATGCTGCATCACCCAGCAACATGCTGCATCACCCTACAACATGCTGCATCACCCAGCAACATGCTGCATCACCCAACAACATGCTGCATCACCCTACAACATGCTGCATCACCTTACAAGATGCTGCATCACCCTACAACATGCTGATTCATCCTGCAACATGTTGCATCACCCTACAACATGCTGCATCACCTACAACATTCTGCTTTACCAAACAACATGCTGCATCACCCAACAACATGCTGCATCACCCTACAACATGCTGCATCACCCTACAACATGCTGCATCACCCTACAACATGCTGCATCACCCTACAACATGCTGCATCACCCTACAACATGCTGCATCACCCTACAACATGCTGCATCACCCTACAACATGCTGCATCACCCTACAACATGCTGCATCACCCTACAACATGCTGCATCACCCAACAACATGCTGCATCACCCAACAACATGCTGCATCATCACCCAACAACATGCTGCATCACCTACAACATGCTGCATCACCTACAACATGCTGCATCACCCAACAACTACAACATGCTGCATCACCCAACAACATCACCCAACAACATGCTGCATCACCCTACAACATGCTGCATCACCCTACAACATGCTGCATCACCCTACAACATGCTGCATCACCTACAACATGCTGCATCACCCAACAACATCCTGCATCACCCAACAACATGCTGCATCATCCAACAACATGCTGCATCACCCACAACATTCTGCTTTACCAAACAACATGCTGCATCACCCAACAACATGCTGCATCACCCAGCAACATGCTGCACCACCCTACAACATGCTGCATCACCTACAACATTCTGCTTTACCAAACAACATGCTGCATCACCCTACAACATGCTGCATCACCCAACAACACACAGCCACAGCCCACAACACACACTTTTACTATACAACACTGCTTCACCCTACAGCATACTGCTTCATCCTACAACATACCGCTTCATCCTACAACATACTAATTCTCACTAAAAATTACTGCTTCACCCTATGAGACAGTTTCACCCAACAGCACACTGCACCACACTATTGAAGATGTATAAATGGACTCACTCTCTTCAGACTCTTCCTCCTCCTGGTCCTTGGAGTCTTTCCTTCTCAGACTTCCCTTCTTCTGAAACATGTATTGTTCATGCACATATGTGGAGGAAGTCAAGCTTAGTGAATGTTGCCACTATCATAACCAGGACCCACAGTAGAAGAAAACCCTTATGGAAATTGTTCCATACAGATTACTAAACGAGTGTCTGTCAGATACCATTTATCTTACAACGATTTGTAAGATAAATGGTATCTGACAGACAAGAGTACAGTAATCTGTTTCTTATACACCATAAAATCGCACCATTTAATGGTCGAATAGATTCAAATTTCACATTTTCTCATCGTAGCTGCGCGTAATATTCACAACACAATGTTTATGAATGAGTGACGTCACTTGGCTTCCTAATCAGGAACAATTACATGTATTGTTAGTAATTATTAGTAAACTTACCTCTGGATTATGGTTGCCTTATTCCTGTGGATTCCACAGACACATACAGAATGGAAATTTTTTACTAAGTCATAGCTATCTCTAGTGGTATGCTTAAAAGAGTTATGCAGTTATCTCCCTTAGCTGTGATGTCACAACGTAGTTGTTGAAAACCTCTCATGATTTTTCTGAAGAATCCTCGTGGGGAGGTAGGGTGGGCACTAGATCCCATAATCCAGAGGTAAGTTTACTAATGATTACTAACAATACATGTTATTGTTCCCAATTATGTTGTAAACATTCCCTCTGGATTATGGTTGCCAGAATGACACATAAGGAAGGAGGGTTTATGCAGATGATAAATACAGCAATACCACTAATTATCCCGTTATAGTCTATGACATAACAATTAGGGTAACTATGACTTAGGTGATGAAATGTAATTATATGAATTATCTAGATCATTCCCTGGATGTTCCAGTATTCAATTACCTAAAGGGAAGGATCATACTCGTGGGGGAGAAATATTTGGTGTTTGGAGAAGCCTGTGACGTCACTTTCGGTCCAAGACGTCATATCCGGTTCTGTAGTAGTCTATTTGACTGATTCTCATTTTAACCGTTTTCTGTGACGTCACTTCCTGTTTGATGACGTCACTTCCTGTTTGATGACATCACTTCCTGTTTGATGACGTCACTTCCGGTTCATGGCGTCACTTCCGGTTCATGACGTCACCTCCGGTTCATGACGTCACTTCCGGTAAGTGATTTCAAGTCTTCTCGTAGATTATTTAACTGGAGTAATAAACTGCAGCGGATATAATAATTCCAATTACTGGTGATAAATATTAGAAGATAGGGTTCTTCAAAGATCCTCATCCTTCCATTTACTGTTAACCTGTTTCCTCCCTCACAGTCCAAAATAGTGAACCATTGCTGAGTTTGGATATATCTGCGCCGCGCCACGCAACGCACGCCACGCCACCCACCCACCCACACACCACACACCCACACACCACACACACACACACACACACACACACACACACACACACACACAGAGGAGAAACAGGTAGAGGAGAGGCGCTGTCACTAGAGGTTCCATTGTCTGTAGGCTCTTGAAGGATGGAGTGACGTTTCGCAAAAGCAAATTGGTGTAGGGATTAGATATGTTCCACCAGCATCCAGCAACAATCTGATCTATGGAAATGGACCCCCAAGCTGCCAGTAATGGCAGCCAGGCCCTGGTCTCATGCAGGGAAAACTATTGTTCACTAAGTTGGGTCACAGTCCTGGGTCACAGTCCTCGTAAACAAAAGTGATTGTCTTCCTAAGCCAAGACGATATAATATTTAATCAAGATCTCCAAATCAACAATTGTCTTGCCAGAGATAAAAAGACAGCGGCAACTACGTCTGATGTTGAGAGTATGCTGGATATACCATTTCAGAACTCGAACAGGTCATAGGAGTCTAGTTCTGCCTGATCTAGAGGCAGAGGTAGGGAATACTTGTATCTGGTATACTCTGTGGCCGAGAGACTGCTAGCAGAAGCCTGATTCTTGGCAAGAAAAAACTGGTAAAGCTATATCCTCCTGTAAAGGTGATTGACTAAAGTCTATGGAAAAAAATTCTGATATTCTGGAACTGGAAGCTGTGGCAATGACAAGTAGAAAACCCACCTTTTAAGGAGAAGAAATGTCACTGAAATTTCCTGCAAAGGTTTGGAAGACTTCTGGAGAGACTACAGAATCAGACATGAAGCCAATTTTGGGAAGATTGTAGGATTAGGAGCTGAGAAAAATGATCTAATCGGCTTGTAGAGCAAGCTGTTAGAACCACTGCTAGTCCTTGTATATCTCAAACAGAAGCGATTGCTGATCTGTAGCCCACCATAGTACCGTGTTTCACTGTCTTAACGTCACTAAGATAAAGGAGAAATCTGCTAAGAAATCGTTGAGATAGCCCTGAATCTGAATTCCCCTCAACATAAAAAAATGGAGGATTGATATCATAACAATGAAAAATATCCAGAGATTGTTGAAACAATTTCCTCATTGGATTGTCCTGGAAGATTCTTATCTCCAGTCAAGAGGTGAGATGGTTCTATAGCTGCCGAATGGTCTAACACAATCACTTGAGTGTGATTGGCATCGGAAAACTGCCTGAAAAACGACGTCCAAAGAGGGGTGGGCAAGCATCCCTCGTGGGCTGACATGGCCACCATGGTATCTTGATTAATTGCCGTATAATCCTCAAAACCTGGGTGAGGAAACTACCAGATTCCCAAGACATGGCAACCACCGTATGGATATCGATCTAGTATGAATGGTCTAAAACCTAAAGCTCCCTAGGACTAGGAGTAACGTGATTTGTGAACGAAAGTTTGGGATAATTTTGAGTACAGGTTTGAGAAATCCCTATCAATTTGAAGCACTGGCAGGGAAAAAACAACCCCATCCTATCAGGGTTGACATGGGCTTGTCTATTCAACCCCTAGCCGAGGATGCTAAGCCTTCGTATTTGCGATATTGGGACTGAATTGTCCAGCCACGTTGTGCAGCGAACGCAGACACGAAATCACCGAATAATTTCCCACATGGTGCATAAAATTCTTACAGCACATCTCCAATGGCGCGTCATATTTCTAAAGAAATGTACCTTCATAGAAAAAATATCACTAATCAATGCGCCGTTGATTAAACCCATGATTAAACTCATGTCCGCCCGTAACACTCTACAACCTAAAACGATGTTTACGGCGCCCATTTGCAGTGTTTTAGCTCTCGGCCAATCAGCTTCATTCAGTCTGCAGTAAATACTATGTATCAGCCAATTAAATAATTTTTTTATATTGTAGCTTACACAAGGTCTAGGCTGGTTCCCAAGCTGGTTCCCGGCTCCCTGTGCGCTCACGAACTTGCGCCACATTGCGTATATTGCGATAAGCGAGACGGGGCCCAGCTTAACACATGGTCGCAAAGCATGGCAGAAGTAGGCAGACCAAACAGAAGATGCCATTAGCGTGTTTAGGGAGATGAGGATGATTAAGAAGTAAACAAACGACAGAATACACCTTCCAAGATCCGTCAGAATGCAGAGGGATAATAGGCACTTGTTAGAACAATAAATGTGCCCTATAACACGCCTTTTCCATGTACAAGGCACATGCTCAAGGTGTTGACATGTTACTTTTTATTACCCCTGATAACCCATGCTGCCAAAAGGCACTAGAAAGTTGAATAGCTACATGATTTATCCCACCAGGTACCCATTTACCCTGCTGGGTTATATAGAAGCAATTTGAATAAACTCACTTGCCAGTATTCAGTGACTGGATATCAGTCTTGTTTCCAACCTAACGGTATATGACGGTTTTGTGAGCCAACGTCAGTTTGGAACTTTCAAGACATCAAATGTTGATTGTTTAATAACGACAAACAAAATAAAATAAGACATGTCAGGTATTTAAGCAGTACCGAGCAGTCAAAAAACAACAAAAACAAAACAGTCATCGCAAAGAAACCAAGTTAGATATCTGAACTAAGGGCCCAGTAGCAGTTCGTCAACAATGACGCAAGCTTTTAAATCCACTGCCTATTTGAGATAATTGTGTGTCAAATATGCAGGTTATCTGCGTCATGACAAACACTCCCTTATATCTATCCCCCTGAAGGTAGATGTCTACTGAGAGTTGAGAAGTGAGAAATTCAAATGCCGTTTCACAAGTGATTTTTTGGGAAGAGATGTCTTGGGAGGTCCTTCTGCTTGACATAAAGGGCGACTAATAGAAACAGGTGGTCAGGCTCGCTGACTTGGTTAGCACAATAAGTCATTGTATCCCAATTGTGTAGATCGATGCTCATGTTGTTAAACACTTGATTGTCTGGTCCAGACTCGATTAATTACAGGCCGCCGCCATAAAGATGGAATATTGCCGAGTGAAGCAGAAAGCATTACTAGCTCACTCAAGCCATTGTGGTTGATACTCGACTACCCATGTATAGAGTAAAGAGTATCTCAGCTGCCTACAGGTATAGACACTAAACTATGGCTCTTGCCGGCGTCATACAAGTTACTATGGCTGATGATCCCGTAGGCGGCACCCGACCATGGTCAATGCCGTTGGGCTTTGCGACTCCGACCCCATGATGCGGAAATAAACGATTGCCTGCCAAGCGGGCTTACTGATAGTAGGGTCAAACGCAAGCGGTTGAACTCCCGGGACTGATGGCAGGACCCCGTGTGGCTTGTGCCATGGGCATAAGCTGTCGTCGGTCGACCTCGTCGACATAGTCGGTGTCAACCTGATCCGAGACATATCCCGTTATGCCATGCCATCGATCAGCCCAACTACCCATGGCTATGGGAGACGGCAGCTGGTAGACAGCCGTGAAGCCCGTGTCTCCCCCGTAGCCGGTACGGTTGACTTGAATGATCCCATACGTGTGGTCCGCAAGCGGTCCACGGGATCAGCCCCTTTATGCTCGCGCAGCTCCAATCCGCCTGTGCGGGAAAGGGTGGCCGGCCGAGAGGTCTTTTTTATGAGTTGTAACCGTTGCTGGTTGAAACCCAGGGACTGAAGGCAGGGCTTGTGCAGCTTGTGCCATGGACAAATCCTGCCTAATAGACATAGTCCCTC